CACAAATAGAGAGGAGCTCTGTAGACAGATAGCACACTGAAAGCCAGAAGATCATATGTCCCATTGTGCCTAGGAAAGAATTGATTCCTGTCTACCCAGCATGATTATTGAAATCTTCCCATATTGTGCTCAACAGCAGGACCAGAAGTAGGGGAAAGAGGTAAGCGAGGTACTTGCCTTGAGCACAGGATGTAAGGGGCTCCACAAATCTTGCTAATTAAAATAGATCATCTTTTAAAGAAATATTTTAAAGATCAAAATTAATGTAAAAGAATCCATGATTAAGAAAATACCAACATTTTAAATAAAAGAAGAGTCAGTAATACTGATTTTTTTTCTTTTTGCCTCAGGTTTCCATATGGCTCTGCTTGGCGCTGCTCAGAAGCATCTCAGATCGAGCAATAAATTATACAGTCACCCTAATTTAGAGTACTTCATAAAATAACAGTGAAAGCTTACATGGTGATTACTAGACCCTGAGTACTATTCTAAGTGTTTTAACTCTGAGCTCAATACTGTCATTATCCCCATTTACAGCTGAGAAAACTGAGGCTTGGAAATTTTAAGTATATAGTTGGTGCCAAGTTGCACAGCTAGGAGAGGAGACCAAGATTTGCGTCTAGGCAGTTGGCTCCAAAGTCCTTAGCCATTACACTAGGCCGCATCTGAGGAAGAGCTTGATAAATGTCGTTCCTGTGAATGTTATCATAAATAATAAAGAAAGAGAGGACAGATCTGGGAAGCGTGGTGGGAGGGTAGGGAGTAGCTTCACCTACTTCTCAATTTGGACTTAAGTATGGCCCAGAATACAGCTGTCAGCCAGATGTTGTTTAACCTTTTTTGAGCCTCTGGATCCTGTCAAATGAAAAGATTAGAACTGCTGATCTCTGAGGTCTCTTTCAGCTCCAGATAATAGTCTCCTATTCTATGAGTCCTCATTACTGCATAGCATTTCTCTGGCTAATATTCCAATACACTTCTTTCTCTTTTTTCCCTTCTGTTTTCGGCCCCTCCGCACTCATCCTCCATCCTCTGTCCATATGGCTTTCCTTGGTGATCTCATCCGTTCCCATGACTTCAACGCTCACCTCTCTGTGGCTGACTCCCAAGTCTTTATCTTAGCCCCTTCCTCTCTCCCAAGATCCAGACCTGCATTTCCAGCCGTCTGCGGGACTCCCTCCTAAGTCTCATACTGAAAACTGTAGATCAGCATGTCCAGGGTCAAACTCATCACTTTCCACGCTTCGCTATTCAGGCACAGCGTCCCGCCTGTCCCTTGCATCCCCCTCTCAGGCAGGTGTTGACACCTCAGAATTTCACCTCTGTCACAACTTCCTTCCTTTCTTTCCATTCCCACTGCTCAGACTCCATTCGGCCCCAGCCCCCCTCCTGGACTACTCCTTCCCAACTCCCCCAGTTCTCACTGCTGGGGTGAACTTCCTGCACTAGGCCTGGAGTCTTTCATAACAAGAGCACTCAGCGTTTTCCCAGGGTCTGCAGAGAAAAGACCAAATGCTTTTCCAGCTGTATACTCACTCCACTACTGAGCTCCATATATCTCATATGCCCAGTGCTCCCCAATTACATATGTATTTTCTTACCTTTGGCATATGCTGTTCCTATTGCTTAAGGCTTTTCCCTTCTATGGTTCTTTGCCCATCTTTCAAAAGATTTCTTTCAAATACCCATTTCTTTATGAAGTATCAAATTCCTAGGGCAGATATCCTCTTTCCTTTTGGTAAACATTTACAGCACTTTTCCTATCTCCACAGCACTTATATTCTTGTACATTGTTTCTCTTTTTATCTCACCATAGTAGGGCCTCATCTCTGTAAGGTCCATCTTTCATTCTCTCCAAGCCCCAGGCCCCTCAGTCCCTATCACACCATCACACAGAAGGAACTTGATACAAGCGTGAGCACTAAATCACTTGATGGAGATTTTAAAAAATTATCATGGCTGCAAATTACAGAAACCGAGCTAGACTTTTGTGTGAGTAGAAGGACAGAATACAGATTCCCATTTTCTCTGCCCACTCTTCTGTGGACAGCAGCATTGCAGAGATAAGATTGTCTTCCCGGTCTGAATTCTATGTCCCTTTCAATAGCTTCAGGAAGAGTCTAGTTTCCCTTCCTCTTTTAAAGAAGCTTCTAGGATTTGGGGGTGGCAACTCTTTGACTGCCTTTTTTCTCTGGCATGCTACAACCAGATGGTTCATGCAAGGGCTCAGTACTCAAGATTGTGCAATCCGTAAAGAAGAAGGTTTCTAAAAAACATTACCCTTGACTGTTTGAGCATGGAATAGTACATTTAGGGAGAAAGTTTTGAAAGTGATCACTAACTGAAAACATGCAGGGATGCTTAGCAATGGTTAAGATAACTTTCCACACTATATTTATATTTGGGCTAGGATCAAAAACCAGAAATGAGTTACAAACACAACTAAAGAAGAGCTATTCAGCAAAGGTCATTCATTCTTAATCTAACAGCTAAAAGGCAACATTTCAAAATATGCATTTCCTGCTCGAGTTTGCCCTTGGACTAATAACTGATTATGGAATTTTAATTTAATATTACAGCATATGTTGCCTTTCCGAATTCAAAAAATCCATGACTTGACTCCAAAATCTTTTTGAGTTGTGCAGAAGAATAGCCTCACAAAAATAAGGTCATCAGTGGTAGTATTTATAATAAATTTACAATTTCAGAAAAAATGGAATCAATAAATACAATTAATATTGCAAATAAACGTCAAAATGATGTACTTCCTACCATATAAATGAACCCTGTTTCACACATAAATGTGCTTTGTGGCAATGGTTCAAAATCCTTTTTCTTCAACAGTAAGCAGATTGAATGAAATAAAAAATGATGTGCCAGGACTTAAAGGTACAAATGGTACAAATTTCAAATTATTGATTGCTGACTGTGCTTACAGACATCAAACAATACTTTTTCAGGCAGCTATAATAGTCCACTTCAATGGAGACGTGATATATTACAGGAAAATTGAAAATGTGGGGAGTATTCAACTAGTCAATCATCACTTTAAATTATTAAGGTTTTGGGTGGGTTTTTTAAGGTCATATAGAAAACAATGCAAACTAAATGAAATATTGTTAACTTCAAACTTTTCTTACTAAGCACCTTTATTGTAGCTTGAAAGGTACCAAGATACTTAGTCAGGACAGAAGTTCACTTTATGTAGAAGTGTACATTTGGTCAGAATCCATAGGCAGTGATATACCTTAATGGAAAGCACAGCAGGACAAAGCAATCACTCTTGAGGGACTCAGAATGTATTTATGCATGTTGTGGACTAACTTCTGATTTATGGGTGAGACATATGATCTAACAGAGTGTGAATCTGAGCTCTTTCAACCTTCCCATTCATTTAAAAATGATTGTGTCTTCCCCAAAGAAATGGTCGAGTATAGCATCAAAATTAAGTCAATGGTCCTGCATCATTGCACTTGAAATGCTCTTTCTGTAACCTAGAAATGGGAAGCAGATTTGTGTATTAGAAATATCTATTCATTGGAAGTCTTTCAGTTGCAAGTGACAGAAACCAAACTCAAACCAGTCGAAGCCAAAAAGATAATTTATGGTTGCAGGTTATTGGAAAGTTCAAGTAAGGCTGGATCCAGAAGTTCAGATGATGTCATCAGGAATGTGTCTGCTTCTCTCCATCTCTCAACTGTGCTTCCTCTGAAAGACATTCATTCTCAAACTGAGCTGTAATCTTGTGAAGGGGCCTGACTATCAGGGCTGCCGAGAACCTGTGCAGTATGGGAGGAAATTTTGCTCAGGCATTCCCAGCAAGAGTGAACTGGTTTAAAAATTTTTAACAATAGACTTCATATTGATTTGCAAACTAGGACCTAGAGCACTCTTAGGGGCCTAGAGCCTGTGATATGGTGACATGCACTGTCTAACGCTCCTTCATACACATGCTCTTAACCTTGTTCCCTCATTGGTTTAGCTCATAGCCCTTGATGGTCTGCATTTTGGACTTCACAAGGCAGGTGTCTCTGTCTCTGTCTCACTCCCTGTGTCTCTCCTCCCACCATTCTCAAACCATATCAAATTTCAAAGCAAGACACCACTGATCCTTTATGGGTAACCTCCATGCCTGGCCAATCATGGTGCCCAGCAAGATGAAATACTTACATGAGCCTAGAACATGTCCAGCCCCACCCCACAGGAAGTGGAGCCGAATTCATGGACAGCTCCATCAATCACATGTACAATTGGATAGGGGAAGCTGTCCCCAAAAGTATGTGCTCCACCAACCCCAAATAAGAATGGGCCACCTCAATTATAGATCACTGTGCAGAGTCATGGCCAGGAGTCATTTTCCCTGAACCAGTTTTCTGAGTCAGCTGAGAGCCACAAAACCAATGAAATAAGTCCCACCTGGAAACCCTCACTAGCTGTAGAGGAAAGGAAGGCTTATTCCTGATGTGGATCTCTCCTCATCAAAAGTACGTCAGATTGATATCTGTGTGCCTAGGCTCCAACACGTGAACACAGTGCTGGGCCGTGGACCCCTGAAGCTGGTAGTCACCACAGGACATTGGAGAAGGAAAATATCTCTTCTCTTGGAAGTTGGCTAAGGAGGTAAATATTTTATTTCTGGTGCAAGCCTGGTTACCTCTTGAGTGCTGCCAGGCATTACAGGAACATATTGGTGGATTAGAAAAAAAAATCCCTGCCTTCAGAAAACTCAGCTTTTAGGGGATCACAAAAAAAATCAAATAGATAACTATGTATAATATTATGCAATTATAACTGAGAATGGTGTAACAGGGTATTAAAGGAACTAGGAGGAAGGAAGAGTGATTAATTTTGCTTGGGATAGACAGAATGAGCAGTACTCGAGGAAGTAGGGGGTAGAAGGGGTGTCATGTAGGTTTCACAGGGGTTGACGTCTGGCCTAAAGAATGACAGGAGGTGTGATAACTTAGGGGGACCACAGCATTTCAAGCAGAAGAAACAGTAAGAGGAGGGAGGGGAAAATCAATCCAATAATAGTCCCTGGCCAAGTTTCCAAGGCCAACACAAGAGACAGGATTGAAGCAATTATTGAGAAAATTGTCTCAATCTTTCCTTTTCTCCTGGCTTTGGAAATTTGGCTATTGCTACATTTTTGTAAGAGAAAAGAGTCTTGATTCCAGAGACCACACAATGTTAAGTGATGGAAAAATTATTTTCTTAGACAAAACAGAGAAAAACCACAGAACCTGAATTCAACTGGGGAAAAAAACTAGATTTTACAAGAAGAGGAAATGGAAATATTTCTTTTCTTTCTCTCTGTACTCTCACTTAATCCATTCTTCTCTTTTTTTTTTTTGGTGGGGGGGAGGCAAGGGAGGTTCACTTTAAATAGCAAATCCATTGAGCAGGAGCCACAGTACAGATTCATATAATGCCTAATGAGAGCTTAGTAAAAACTTGTAGTAAGATGAGGGTAATTATTCAAATAATTTTCAGAAATTTACTAATATCAAAATCAAAATCAAGTGTAGCTCCAAGAATTGATTCCCATGCCCTCTTGTCTATTATCCTATCTCCCCAAGGTCTGGGTAGCTTGTTAGCATTCAAGACTTCCTTTGAAGATTAAACAGCATTAAATTTTTGCCTTGCAAGGAAAGGGATTATGAATTTATGTGAAAACAAGAGTTGGGTAGAAATGCCTGCAGAAATCGAAAGGGGAATAAATTCTGGCTTAAAGTCCACAAAATGTACTGAAAATGAATAGAAACCGCATGGACTTCAGTTTTAGTATTTATCACCATCATTTCTGAACTATTTGATTTGGGGCAAGTTTTTCACGTCTTTAACCCTCGGTTTTAAAACTGAGATAGTGACGGCATCTCCAGCATAAAGTTGCTTTGAGGATTAAAAAGAATAATCCATACAGAAGAGATCAACACATTGCCCACCACGCAATATTATCTTGCCATCAACAGAATAAAAGAAAAGACAACAACAACAAAATCGCCAGTATTGGTACTAACCACAGAGCAGACATTATATCAAGATTGCAGTCTGGTACCATCTACCTCACCTTTTGTCCTTTCATCAGAGTATTGACCCTAATATGATTTGGTGACTGTTATTATTATTATGACATTGACTCATGGTAGATACCACCAAAGGGCCAAAGGATGGCATTGTCAGTGTTTTTGACCCTCCTGTTATTGGCAAAAAGAAAAAAGAAAAATTTTTGTCACTCTTTTCTGAAAACCTTGACCATTTTGGTGTCATAGGCATTTGATTGTAAAGAGAAACATAGGAAATTCCAAGAGATGTTAATGCTGAGCCCAGAAGACCAGGTCATCAGCCTTTTCCTTATTCTGCGGGCAGAACTTCTGTCTTCTGAAAACACACTTGAAATACCTGTCATTTGATAGGCATTAAGTCTTCAAATTTGCTAACGCTCAACATTTGCCTTGACCTGCATGTTCTAAGACCCATGGAAGTATAAGTTTCTTACTAAAGAGCAGAGTGGGTAGCAGTGGAGCTGTGAGCTGTCTATAGAGTTCAAAATAAGTATGAATGTTTCCTTTATGTTACATTACAGAAATATATGTAATTCAGTGCTGCATATCTTTAAAATACATTTGCCTATTGGGCTCTTGATTTTGGAACTGATTTCTTACAAAGGAGCTAAAATACTCTTCAAAGAGAGAATTTATGTGGAAACAGAAGTCACGACAGAATTTCTGGTCAGCTGTGTGGTACATAGACATGTTGTATCTTATTTTTAAAGTTAACTATTTTGAAATATTACTAATTTATCAAATTTAATATGCAAAGAATAAAATATGAGTATTTAGGATCATAGATATAAAAATGAAAACAAACATCTGTAAGGGAGTACTTAAAGCTATACATATGAGCAGTTTCCCAGGACGTTGTTCACATACTTGCCATTGAGATTCACTTTTAGCAGGATATGTACACCAAGGGATATGTTGACTATGATTTATTGAACAGTTGAACAGTTGCAAGATATGGGTCCTTATGGTCATCTATCATTGTGAATGATGATTTAAGGGAGATACAGTTTATAAAAAGAGCAGCGTGAAGTTGAAATAGCAGGAATGGGCCATGTCATGACTTGTGCTCAAAATGAAATTTGAGAAAAATAATTTAAATGGAAAAATATCATCCATGTTAGATTTTGCAAAATGAAATAAATATGACTATATACAGTGGGCAAAAATGTGATTTCTATTCCATAATTAAATACTTGTTTCTTAGGTCAAGTTTTCCTATGACATTAAAATAGTCATTGGCTGGGTCAACAATGAGTTTTTACCTTTCTTTAAAAGTGTGAATTTGAGGGACTTTTTTTTTTAATGAACAAAGAAGCTATATACTTTAAGGCTTCTCATTTCAGGAAAAAAAAAATCAATCAAAAGTAGGGGTTTTTGAGTCTACAACAAGATCTGTCACTTTGCAAGCCAGAGTGTCAGTTTCATGATCTGTAAGAGTGATACATTCATATCCTGTCCTCGGTGCTTAGTAATTTATCAGAATGCTAACCTAGATCAGGATCACAGCATTTGGAGCTCCTGACCAGAGGGAAACTGAATGGCCCGTGACCAAGAACTCTGTAGTTACCTGAACAGAAATCCATACCAGGATTTTTTCAGAACATCATTGACCCTAACACAATTAAATACGCTTCATAAATAAAAAGAGCTTCGTGGTCAAATACATTGGGAACATAACAAAATGAGTCTGGTTTCTTTATTGCAGGATTTCTCAAGAATCTTTAATAAACCAACATGCATTGTGAATCCCAAGGGGTCTCAGAATGTAGATTCCTACCTTATTTTCATATGCCATCACTGTTTTTGTTTTTTAAAGAAAGCATGTGAAACTCTTGAGAAAAATTAAGGGTGCCCTAAGATACAGATTGAAAAATACTTGTTTTTTTCTCGAGTCAGATATTTTAGATTGGTATATTTTTATTAACAGGATGATAAAGAACCAAAACTACTCAACAGAATGCTCTTTTAGGGGGAGGTTTCTTGGAATTCTACATCTTTCATTGAAAGGTCTTAGGGTTGTCTTTTCTGTAATGAGTTAATTATGGCTTGTCAGTGATTTTAAAATGAACATTTCCAAACCTAAAGATGGCTCTAGAACATAGAAGAACATGCAACAGGAAAACTAGGCACAAGTGTGATCTTTTTGGAGCCCTTTGCATAATTTTGGAGATGATGAGAATTTATTTTTTATGGATTAAAACAAAGTTGTTAACTGCAGAGCAGAAGTCGGGTCAGACAGATATACTGCTCCTGAGAATGCACTGATTACAATTTGTATTTTATGGTAGTTGAAAAGTTGGAGTTGCTTGCTAATGAGATCAAGCACCATTACATATATTACTAACATTCACAGAAGCTGCAGATTCATTTTGAAACATCTTTATGCTACATTTGCTCAAAGCATTGTCTTCCTGTTAAAAGAATTCACCTACACATTGAATTTCCTCTATAATATACTACTGATAGTCTAAAGAAATATTTCCATGTATCTCTTTGTCTGAATTGGAAAGCTATGCATTTTTTTGAGTTCTGTTTCTTCTGAAAACTAGTTGTTGACAAATAAGAATGTCACAATGATTATAGGACTGAATTACCCTGTTGATTTCCTAATTCGCTGCTTGAATTGTAATGCTTCAAAATAAGTGCAATCTCTCTAAAATATTTTGTCATCTTATACTGTTTGAAAGATAAATGGTCTTAAACAGAACAGTTGTCGAAATTCTTTGCTAGAATTGAAGTTTAAACATCCAGTTCTAAATCCAAGATGTTATAGTTTGGATCTGAAATGTCCCCTAAAGTATCATGTATTGAAGCCTTGGTCCCCCAAAAGGCTCACGTATTGAAGGCTTGTACCCTAGCTGTGGTGCTATTGGGAGGTGGTGAGAACTTGAGAAGGGTGAGCCTGCTTGAAGGAAGTAGGGCTTTGAGGGCATGTTCTTAAGGATATATTTTGTCTCTGGTCCTTTCGTCCTTTCTCTGCTTCCTGGGCACCATGAGGTAAGCAACTCTGCTCCACCCCACATCCCCCACCATGGATGTTCTTCTACCTTACCATGGACCTACGAACAACAGAGCTAAGTGACCATGGACTGGAACTAGGAGCCAAAATAAATCTTTCCTCCTTTAAGTTGATTTTCTCAGGTGTTTTGCCACAGTGATGAAAAGCTGACTAATACACAAGAAAATGGAGATGGCAGAAATCTCTCTTTTTGAGGGAGGTTTTTCTAATCCAAGTGCTAGAATTCTAGAGACAAGTCCAAATTAAAAAATAAAAGAGAGGGATTTCCAAGTTAAAAAGAGGGCTGGAATATGTATAAAAAGTATGGGAGTACAGATATAACTTCAAGATGCTGATTTCATTTCTTTTGGATACATATCCACAAATGGAATTGCTAGATCATACAGTAGTTCTATTTCTATTTTTTTTTGAGGATCCTCTATACTGTTTTCCATATGGCTATACCATTTACAGTATCTTCAATGCTGCATCATTCACAACAGGCAAGATAGGAAACAACGTTAAGTGTACCTCGATAGACAAGTTGATAAAGAAAACGTGGTATATTTACCCTATGGTATATTATTCAGTTGTAAACAAGAAGACCTTACCATTTGTGTTCATATGACTGAACCTAGAGGACATTATGCTAAATGAAATGAACCTGCCACAGTAAGACAAATGCTGTATGAGTTCACTGATATATGGAATCAAAAAAGTCAAACTCATGAAAACAGAGAGTACAATGGTGATTCCCAGGGGCTGAGGGATGGGAAATGGAAGATATTTGTCAAAGATACAAATCTCAATTGTGTAGGAGGTATACATTCTGGAAGTTGACTGGATACCTCCGTGACCATAGTAAATAGTGCTGTACCTTACGCTTAATAAATGTTCAGATGGTAGGGTTTAAGTGTTCTTATCATGAAACCAAACAAAATAAAATGTATCTATGTGAAATAATGAGGAATATATCAATTAGCTTGGTTATGATAATCATCTCACAATGTATATAAGTAGCAAATCATTATGTTGTTCACTTCGTGCAATTTTTATTTATCAACTAGACATCATTAGAGCTGGGGGTGGGGTACAGGATTCAGGCTCAGATCTGTCATGAAGCCTTGGGTAAATAAGGTAGCTGTCCAGGTGTCCATTTCTATATTTATGAAAAGAAGGAACTAGGTATCCGTAAACTGTAAGTTACAACATTTTTATCAGAAACTGGAAGAAAAGGAAAAATATGGAGACTCACAACTAGCTCAAAAATTCTTTCCACATTTATAAACATGGGGAAAAACCATAATTGTTTGGACTCATACTTTCTATATTCCATTCCCCATACAGATTATCAATGGCTATTGCTTCAGGGGAGATGGCATCTGTAAATTTGACTCAATTTTCTGCCTAAAATTTTGTAGATCGTTGTTGTAGGACTAGAATTTCTTTTCTTGCCACTTCTCATTTGAAAGGCTTTCACTTACTAGGCCTACAAGCTATGATATTCAGGCTTAATGCCAGTAAAGTTTCAGGAAAAAAGAGTGAGAAAATTATTTAAAAGGACTACTTTTTGATAATGGCAGTGTTTTGACAGTTTTTGACAGGCAATTTGGAATAATGCAACCTCCTGGATTCGAGCCAACCTCTGAAATGGGCTGTAATTTAGAATGATGGCAGCTTCTATGACCTCTGTATTGGAGAGTCACTGGAATTAAAAAAGAAAAAAAATCCAAATAGTTTGGGTCTGTATTTGAAAACCTGGTTTAAACGTTCTGATATATAGCCATTTTTAAAGAAAGGATTTTTCTTGTCCTATGCACAACACTAAATCCCTCTTTGAAAGCTAGGGAAGATGTTCTGCCTTTCAGTGTGGGGTAAAAACCCCCCTCAGATTTCACTCCCATCCAGATTATGGGTATTCTGATGAGCTAGCTATGAGTACGTCTGTCCCTTCTGTCCCCAGGATGAAATCAGACCCACTCTGGCACAGAGACCTACATCATGCTGTCATCCCTTGGAGGATGGAAACTCTGAGCTGTTACAGTTTCCACAACTTTCTCTTTTCACATAAATGTGCTGCTTCAGGTTCTCAGTTTGGCCCTTCAGGCTCCTTTGAAAAATAGATTCTATTACTTCCTTAATTCTGAGAGTTAAATGCTTTTTAAAGAGTCGTGTAACTTAAATATGAGCTGGGTGTGCAGTGTAGGATTTTCAACTGAACCGCAATTCTCCAAACATACCAATATATTCCAAAATTGCCAGTTGCAGGCCATAAAATATTTACATTACAGAGTTAATAATGTATGTTTAGTAAGAAACGATGAAATATTTAGAGTTTTTCTAAAGATACTGTATGGGTTTTTTTCCTCTGCCACAGCCATTTTTCTTGAAGTGGGCAAAATAGGCAACGTTCAGAGCTCAGAGAGCAGCATGTAAATATCTCCAAAGGAAAAGAATGTTCTGAGGCAGTAACTAGAAGAGCCTCCACATGGATAAGACACATCATCGGTTCACAGATATCAAGATATGTGTTTCATACCAGTTGAAGGTCTAGGGAGGCATTAGCAAATGGTTTTCATACCCTTACCATTAAACTGAAGAGTTGCTAGGCTAGTCATTGCTTTGCCAAAGCTCTTCTGTGGGAGGATTGTGACCTTAGAGGATGCTATGAACTTCCAAGCTTCCAAACATGTTTTAAAAATCTCCCCCCACACCCTCATTGACCTTGAACATGATCCAGAAAACCCAATCACAGTGTTGCTAAATATTCACCATACATATTTAGGAAAGAGCCAGAGAAAGTTCTTAATGGAGGTTTCAACAGAATTGCTGGAGAGAATCTTACAAACTGAAGTTCACAGGCTCCCCCCTTAAGAAATTCTGGTAGAATAAATCCAGCACAGGGTCTGGTAATCTTCATTTTTTTTTTTAGAAGATTCCCAAGCAATAGTCATTCAGGTTTAGGAACTACACTAGGCTGAATAATAACTCTCCCCAATATCCAGGCCCCAGTCCCTAGAATCTGTGAATGGCAAAATATGGCAAAAGGGAGGCTGCGGGTGTGATTAAATTAAGTATTTGGTGATGGGGAGAATATCCTGCTTTGCCTGACAGGTCCTAAATGTAGCCAAAGTGTTCTTACAAGAGGAAGGCAGAGGAAGACTCGACACAGGGCAGAAAGGAAAGTAATGATGGAAGGAAGATGCTAGGCTGCTGGCTCTAAAGAGGGAGCCAGTCCACCTACTCTAGGAGTGGGAGAAGGTGAGGAAGGAGATTCTACCCTAGAGCCTGCAGAAGGATCCAGCCCCTCTGACATGTTGACTTCAGCCCAGTGAAACCGGCTTGGACTTGTGACCTTTAGAATTGTAAGAAAATAAATGTGTATTGTTTTAAGCCACTGAGTATGTGGAAGCCTGGGACAGCAGTAATGGGGAACTAACTCAGTGTCCTAGCCACTTCCATTTGAATGGCCCTTTATTGCTAAACACAATGCTTTAAGTCACTGCTTCAAGACCCTAGGATTTAACTGGTTCCAACTGCAGAGGGACATAAAAGCAGCCTTGCTTCTAGAAGATATTGCTGTCCCATCTTCCCGTCTTGCTGAGCACCTCTCCACAGTCCCATTCACCTGAGAATTTCATAGCTTCCAGAAGAGGCCGGGCAGCGCTGAGGGTGAAGGCCTGCAGCCAAAACCTGCATCCCTCAAGTTTGGACATTGAGCCACAAGAACTCATCACACTGCTCCTGTGTGCTCAGCATTCTGCTTGCTACTATAGGGAATTCAGAGAATCAGGAGAGGTCGTTCCCCACTCTCCTGCTGAGTACAGACATTGCACAGCAGTTACAAACACTTAGGTTGCATTTCCAGGAATGTCAAAGCTGAGGCTCCCCTGGCTTCAACGGATATTGTCTCATCCTGGGCCAGGACAAATGCATCATCGCAGCTTAAGGGAAGAAGATGATGTCAAATCATGGGCTTATCAGTTATACTCTGATTAGAAGACCTGGAAATCTAGTCATTGTCCCACAGTTTTAAGCTCTCAGGAACCTGAAGGATGTATTAACGGTGGATGTATTCCAAGGTGGGTGAGGGTATATGTGTGTGGAGGGAATCTCTATATTTTATCGGTACTTGTTCCTATCAGAGCTCCTCATGGTGAAAGAATGAGAGGGGGAGAAAAAGATGGCAGCTGCATAGAGCTGGGATAGCATCTCGTTTCTATGACAACGGTGTCTGCTCTGCTCCCAAGCTCCATCTGGTATTTTCAGGCCTAACAGCCAGGTAGCATGTAAATGTCTGATGGGGGAAAAAAAAAAGGCATCAATAGAGATTCTTTGGATCAGGCACAAATGAACACAGCAACACCATGGCCTTTCTAAGAAAAACAGTACATTACTTCTCCAGAAATAGGGCAATGTGAAGACACACCACAGAATACACAGGACACGTGCAACTGTGTTTTATGGAGAGAGCAAGCTCAACAAGCACACAAAATTAAGTAGCCTCAGAAGCTGAAATGGGGTGCTTTCTCCTAAAGACAAGGCAGAAATATACTCATGGGGTGATTCTTTCTTCACCCTGGCTTCCTTCCCCAGTCCTGCATTGTGGGATTGTGTGGGTGTCAGGTAATATGGATACAGCAGCTCTTACTTGCCTCACTGACCTTCCCTTCAGATTTTATCCTTG